AAGGGCCTGGGAGCAGAACAATTTCAAGGCTCTGCTCCTTGAATACCTGTGTTGAGTTCCTTGGCTGTCCTAGGTTCAGTTCCAATGGGCCCGGGTGCAGAGTGGGTCTCAGTGGCTGCCCTCCAGAGGGCACAGATAGGAAAACCTTGCAGTGTCCACACGGTACCATCTCCACCAGCACACAGAGTTCACGAGTTATCAGGGCATGTTACCTCCATCAAGATTTCCAAGGATGTAACTGCCTAGAGCCTTGGCCGTGTGACTCAGGCAGAGGCCTGCTGTGGGGGCTGGGTCACTGCAGAGAGTCCCCACTAGGGCAATGCCTAATAGAGCTGCCCCCGAGACCTCAGACTAGCAGAGCCTCCCATGTGTGATTCCAGCCTGGGAGAGCTGCAAGGCACCTGGCTACAACCCATGAGGGCTGCAGCCTGGGCTGCGCCCGCAAAGCCGTGGAGGTAGGGCCATCTGGAGCCTTGTGGGCCCAACCCCTGCCCCAGTGTGTCCAGAAGGTGGGATATAAACCAAAGAAGATTATTCTCAAGACTTAAGATTTAACGTTGTTGGACTTGTTGGGTTTCAGGCCTGGGACCTGTTACCGCTTTCTTCTCTCCTATTTCTCCTGTTCGTAATGGGAATGCCTAGCCCACCGTAGTATTTTGGAAACACCTAACATGTTTGATGTCACTGGTTCCCAGCTGGAGAGCAATTTGCCTCAGGATGAATTGTACCTTGAGTCTCATCCAAGTCTGATTTAGATGATATTCAATATTTGGAAAAAACTCTGGACTTTAGACTTTTGAGTTGATGCTAGAAAGAATTAAGAATTTTGAGGCTATTGAGATTGAATGAGTGTTATTTTTCATATGAGAAGGACATGAAGTTTGGGGCAGAATGCTATGATCTGAATGTTTGTGTCTTCCCAAAATTCATGTTGAAATGCTTATCACCAAGGTGACGGAATTAGGAGGTGGGGCCTTTGGGAGGTGATTAGATCATGAAGGTGGCACCCTTATAAATGATGGCTGAGAAAGACTCCTTTCCCCTTCCACCATGGGTGGGACAGAGAGGAGGTGCCATCATTGAGCCAGAATTGGGCCCTCACTAGACACTTTACCTGCCAGTGTCTTGATCTTGGACTTCCAGCCTCCAGAATGGTGACAAATCAATTCCTGTTGTTCATAAGCCACCCAGTTTATGGTATTTTGTTATGGCAACCCCAACAGAGTAAGATAGCAGGTAAAACCCCAGATATTGCAGAGCAGAGACAAGCAACTATTTCCACTGTGCCCCATTTGATTCCCTGACCTACAGAATCTGTGAGCATAATAAAATCATGCAAAAGTTTAATACCACTAGATTTTGGGGTGCTTTGTTATACAGCAAAGGTTAACCAGAAACTCAAAATTTCTCTCTTTTTTTGAGACAAGGTTTCAGTATGTTGCCCAGGCTGGTCTCAAACTCCTGGGCTCTAGCGATCCTCCTGCCTTAGCCTCCCCAATAACTGGGACTACAGTTGCTCGCCATTATGCCCAGCTAAAATTTTCACTTCTTTATCTGGAATAATAATAGTGTGCAAAAATGAAGTCAGAAACCAGTGCAGACAGAGCTGCTACGAAATAACACTGTCGCGAAAAGCAAATAGATTGCTACTCTTAACTAGCCTTTCTGTTACTTGGAGAGTTGTACTCAGTGAATCACACAAGACAGGTTTTCGGGAAAATAGTGATTAGCCCACAGCCACAAATCCAACTTACTGGATCTAGGTAGAGCTTTCATATTTTATGAAAACTAAACTGAAGGCCTCAAAAGTTTCCGTAGGACAATCAGACAGACATGAGACATGCTCCTGCCGACAGTGACCTCACTTCTTTAGTGTAATGACACACCAACTTGTGGGAATCCTTCTTGTTCTGATGGGAACCAAGACAAGCTTCTCAGCCTTCCAGAAGGCACATGCTGTGTGCTCCGCCAATGTGAGGCCCAGAGCCAGGGTACCCACTCTACCCATCATGGGTTCCTTTCCATGAATCTGCGCAGAGGGGTCCTTGGGGCTTGGGCCTGGCTTTGCTGATTCTACTCCTCAAAGAAAAATAACCCATTTCTGTATTCAGCAGGACTCTTCCCCAACTATACCCCTAATTATGTTTTATAGCAATGGGAGATACAATGCTTTTAACATTTAAATTAAAAGTTTTATTCAGAGTGATCATGACCATAACTCCCACCTGTTGCCAGTACCCCTCTCCCCACTCCTCTCTCCTGGGCGCTTTCTCACTTTCAGCCTCTAAAGCTTTGTGAACGAGGTCTTGGTTAGCCAGTTACTAGCCATGTAAGTTGGTCAAGTCACTTGTCACTTGTAAAATTAAGATAATCCTACTTCACAGGTCGCAGAGATCACAGCATAAGGAAACACTCTGCCATGTAACTAGTAGGTTTCATTCACTCATTCATTAAATATTTAATGAGGTTTTTGCCATGTGCCAGACACGGGCCTAGATCCTGGGTAAACACTGGTGAAAAAAGCAGTCCCTGCCCTCTAGGAGTTCCCGGCGCGGTAGGAGAAACGGAAAGTAAACAGGTTACTAACAGAAGGTATGTGTCAAGAAGGGGGAAACAAGATGCTATGGGAACACTAGAAAACCAGGCATTGGAGGCTCAGAAAAAGCTTCTCGGAGGCTTGGACGATTGAGAGCTGGGGAACAAGCAGGAGTTGGGGGAACATGGTGGAGGGGAGAGGTGGTTCAGGTGGGGAGAAGAGCAAGTGCAAGGCTGCGCGGCACAACGGCAGGGTGTTTCCAGGGAACTGCAGTGGTTCCCTGTGGCTGAAGCATGCGTGTGAGGCACTGAGTAGAGGGAGAGGAGCTGGTGGGGTAAGTGACACGCAGGTCACATGGGCCTTGTGGGCATTTGAAAGAGCACTTAGCTGGTGATGTGGAGAATGCATCAGAGGGCGCAAGAGTGAGGGCCAGAAGGCCATGAGGCGGCCCTGCCAACACCCACGGAGACACAGTGACCCCGGCAGCAAGGCTGTTCCACTGCTGGATCCACCCCCCTCTGCTGGGAGCTCAGAACACACAAACGTGCAGGGTGAGTGTTTTCTGGAGGATTCTTACACAGCAAGGCCAGCTTCTGTCTAGTGAGTCGACAAGAAATGCAGAAGAAAGCAGCATGGGTGAACCTGGGGGCAGGGGACCCGGTCCTCAGAGCCTGGACTCAAAGGGCCAGGAATGACCCTCCCCAGCGCCACAGTGAGCTCGGCTTCTGCTTTCATTCCCTAGGAGGCAGGGCTCAGCCCCTGGAAGCCTGGCCATTTTCTGGGTCTGGGGAACATCCCTGAACAGGAAACTGCTTCTCCAAGATAATAGCTGAATGTCAAGAGGGCGGGAAAAGTGAAATTTCAGAGTTGCGCCCTAAACAGTTCCAAACCAATTTTCTCACTGCAATCCTCACCACACCCTGAAGAAAACAAGCCTGACTCACAGACCACATCAATCCTGGGAGGCGGGAGGTCTGGCTGTGCGCTGCTGGGGGATGCGTGTGTTGGGGTGTCTGCCTGGAAGCCACAGCAGGGAAAGGGTGGCCCTCACCCACACCCACCTCCACTACCTGTTGGCTCCCACCTCCCTCTTCCTCCCCTGAGCTTGTAGCTCCCAAGCTGGAGCCGGTGGGATCAGGGGAAGCAGCTGAGTTATGATCAGGGATGAGGAGGAAATTTTTGAAGCCATCCCAGGGGCCACAGAACTGGGAGTGTCTGCAGCTAATTCAGCATAGGAGGAGGCAGAAGAGGGCCAGGGAAAGTGAACAAGGATCACTGAGTTGGGAAGGGGTGTAGAGCTGGGCTGAGTTTCTGGAGTAGCCCATACAGCAAGGTGACTTTGTGGAAGTGCCTTGCAAACTATAAAATGTATTGCAAATATTCGTGTTGTAGTTTTTGTTTTTTTCTATATGTATAGTACTTTAAAATCAAGAAACAATATCTTAAACATAATCCTAGTTTCCATTTATTTGACAGCCTACCATGAACTAGATATCCTGTGCTCAGTGCTTTACACAGGTCTACTCAACAACTCTGTAATGTTAGACTATTTTCATCTCCATTCTAAAGATGAGGGGAATGATATTCAAAGGTCACTCAAGGTCTTAAATGAGATTCAGACTGGGGTCTGTTGGCTCCCAAGTGATGCTTTTAACTACAATGTCGCACTGTGGGTTGATAAGTGTTCTGAGATGAACAAGACGCCAGTGGGCTCAGATTTCCAGCCCAATGCCAGTAATCCTCCTCCAGGATTCTGAGAGTTCTGCCTCCGTCCCTTCCATAGGCATCAAGGCACCTCAGCAGTGTAAGGCACGTGGCATTGCTTTGCTATGTAAGATCTCCCAAAAATCATCCTCCTTTCCCTTGCTCCAAGTTACCCACATCAAGCCTAATTTGTCTACCTTAGCAGGATCAGAGCTCAGTTAACCCTGCTAAGATTTAAAATTACAGTTCTTTTTGTTTTTGAGACAGAGTCTCACTCTGTTGCTCTGGCTCGAGTGAGTGCCGTGGCGTCAGCCTAGCTCACAGCAACCTCACACTCCTGGGCTCAAGCGATCCTACTGCCTCAGCCTCCCAAGTAGCTGGGACTACAGACATGCACCACCATGCCCGGCTAATTTTTTCTATATAGATTTTTAGTTGTCCAAATAATTTCTTTCTATTTTTAGTAGAGACGGGGTTTCACTCTTGTTCAGGCTGGTCTCAAACCCCTGACCTTGAGGGATCCACCCGCCTCAGCCTCCCAGAGTGCTAGGATTACAGGCGTGAGCCACCGCGCCTGGCCTAAAAATTACAGTTCTTGAGTTTAAGGATTTTCAATCTAGCCCAGAGACTATTTTGTTTTCTGGCTAGGACATCAAAACAAAATATAATACCTCCCTCGTCAGAAAAAAAAAATCTGTTTTCTTTCTGAAATTTAAAAAAAACACTTTGCAAGTTAAAAAAATAAAGATTACAGGCAATAGTAGCTTATTTTGCTTTAATATCCCAAAATATCTGTATGAACGGGACCCATGTTGCCAAACAAGGCAGAAATCTGTAGACAAGTACGTCTCACTCTAAGGAAAGAACTAATTGGACAGAAGGCACCAGAAATTGCATTTTGTTGGGTTACATGTAAACAGTAGATGGGGGGGTGGAGATTTGCCAAGAAGAAAGGAATCTGCGCTGTCATTTCACTGGCACATCCTAAGGATGAAAAACGGCCTCGCCCGCCTGCCTTGCATTGTAGTGTAAACAGTGCCCGACACTAAGGAGACAAACACCCACACAGCAGCAGTGCAGAAGGGCATGAAAAGGAACTGACATTAGCGTAAGCCCCCGGTCCTCTTCCTGTCTTTTCCAAGGGCATCTCAATTAGCAGTGTCTTACAAATGCACCATTTGTCAGCAACGGGTTAGTGGAAAAATCAAATCCTAAAAAGCCTGGCACACAACACTGTGTTTCTGTCCACGCTCTTCAGTCGGATGACTTGGATGGGTCCTGGGGCGGAGAGACGTACTGCATCTGGCCTGTCTTCCTAGGTGATGACGGTGGGTGCAGTGCGGCCCGTCCTTTCCTGGAGCTGGGAGACTTTCAGAGCAATGGAAATAAGAGGGGCCAGCATGACCTGAGGGGGACACAAAGAGAAGCACCTTTTCCATCACTTTCTCTAAACACGGACCTTAGCGCCAGCCCTAACTTAGCCTCTTGCGTCTGACTGCCTACTCCCAGGTCTCCAAGCCTCCTCACACTCTACAAGCCTGAAAACAGACATATGTTCTTTCTCCCTAGTTCCAGCAGTTTCTCTTTTAGTGAATCAACCGCACAGTCTTTCATGTACACTGTGAACTGAGTCATTTTTGGCGCCTTCCTCTGCGCGTTCCCCGCGCGCAATCTGTCATCAAGCCCCAGTGCCTTTTCCCTTCTAAATGTCTCACGCCGGCACCCATTTCCCTCCATCCTGCTGCCACGACCCTTGCCGAGCCCATGTTCCCTCTCTCACCTGGGCCTCCATACCCACTTTTGCATCCTCCAGTTGGTTTCCCACACTGTACCTGAAGAGATCTTTCAAAATGTGAGAACTCCCGGCCCCACATCTACCTCTCACTTAAAGAAAAAACAAGAATTCTTCTGCTTAAATAAATATTTTTAATATTTTTTTAAAAAACCCTACTCGTCTAGTTGAACTACCCATTTTACAGATAAGAAAATTGATACCCAAAGAAGTGAAGTGATTTGACCAAATGACTCAATGGCAGAGCCAGCATAGTACATTTTCTACTGCCAACTGGTGCTTTCTCTTATCTAAATCTCCACCGATGCGTTATACCTGGATGAGAAGGAGAATCGACTCTACGTGCAGAGCCTGCCGTGTTCCCCTTAGGGCTTGGACAGTCCCCAGGAGGTGCTGAGGTTGTGGCCCAGCAACCACAGATAAGAGACCGCGCCTGCCCACTGGATGGCGGCCCCCTTCAGTGCCATCCCACCCCCCAGAACTGTGAAGCAGCACCTTTCGTTCATTCTTTGTATCTACCATGTGCCAGCATTTATCTTGAGGATAAAAAGACAGACACACTTTTTCCTTCTTCCTTTCCTCCTGCTCTGTTATTCTAAGTGTCTACAATGCAGACCTCACTGCCTTTGGTTATGTTTGAGGGGTGCCTACAACACAAGAGGGTTCTGGCGATGATTGAAACTGGAGCCCGGACACTGGAAAAAATGTAACAGTGATGCGTCCTCTCACCGCCCCCTTTCTGTAACAAAATCAACTATAACATTCAGATGAGGTACCCAGAGTGGACAATTCATAGACACAGGAAGTGGAACAGTAGTACCAGGGGCTGAGGAGAGGGGGAAATGAGGAGTTGTTGTTCAATGGGTATAGAGTTTTAGTTCTGCAAAAAAAAAAAAAAAAAATTTGGGCAACAATGTGAATATATATAACACTACTAAATTGTACACTTAAAAATGGTTATGATGGTAAATTTTATGTTACATGCTTTTTAGAATTTTTTTTTAAAATTTAGACTAAAAAAAAAAAAGAACTATAACAGCTGCTTATTCTCAAAAGTTAATCCTGTGTGGCGGCCACAGTATTTAAGCATTTTACATTATTGTCTCCCTAAATCCCGGTAACAACTCTATGAAGTAGGTATTATTCTGCCATTTGACAGACAAGGAAACCAAGACTCATAAAATTGAAATGACTTACCCAGCAACACACAGTTATTAAGTGGCAGGAACAGAATTTAAAACAAGATCTCTCTCACTCCAAAACCTATTCTCAAAACTACTATGCCAGGGGTTTCCAAATAATTTTCACAGGATTTTAATTAGGTGTTAGAAGAAAATAGGCTTTGTAGAAAAAATAAGCATGGCAATTGCTATCAATTTTATTTTACTTTTAATTTTTTATAAAAATTATTTATATTTAAGGTATACAATATGATGCTTTGATATACATATACACAGTGAACTAATTACTACAGTCAAGCTAATTAACATATCAATCTCATCACATAGTTACCTTTTTTGCTGTGGTGGTAGTACTGAGAACACTTAAGACCTGCTCTCTTAGCAAATTTCAAGTATACAACACAGTATTATTAATTATAGCCACCATGTTGTACATCTAGAACTTCTTCATTCTACGTAAGCAAAATTTTGTACCCTTTGACCAACATCTCCCCATTTCCCGCCCCCACCAGTCCCTGCTAACTACCCTTCTACTCTGTTTCTATGAGTTCAACTTTTTTTAGATTCCACATATGTGAGATCATGTAGTATTTATCTTTCCGTGTCTGGCTTATTTCACTAAGCATAATGTCCTCCAGGTTCATCTATGTTGTTGCAAATGTCAGAATTTCCTTTTTTTCTTTAAAGGCAGAATAATTTTCCATTGTGATATATATAGAGATCCCTCTCTCTCTGTCTCTCTCTCTGTATATACATACACACACACACACACACACACACACACACACACACAGACCACAGTTTCTTTTAGGTTAGTACCCTATCTTGGCCATTGTGAATAGTGCTGCAATGAATGTGGGAATGCAGATATTTCTATGAGATACTGATTTCAGTTCCTATGGATATAATATCCAGAAGAGGGGATGGCTGGATCATGTGGTGGTCCTATTTTTAATTTTTTGAGAAACCTCCATACTGTTTTCCAAAATGGCTATACCAATTTACATTCCTACCGACAGTGGACAAGGGTTCCCTTTTCTCCACAACCTTGCCAACACTTGTTATCTTTCATGTGTTTGATAATAACCACCCTACCAGGTATGAGGTAGTATCTCATTGTGGTTTTGATTTGCATTTCCTTGATGATTAGCGATGGTGAGCACCTTGTCAGATACCTGTTGACCATTTGCCTGTCTTCTTTGGAGAAATGTCTATTCAGGTCCTTTGGCAAAAGCTATTTAAACAGGTGTCTTTCCTGTAAGTTTTCTTGAAGCCTTTAAGGTGCGGTGTATGCTATGAATCACCCAGCAGGGGCTAATGTGCCACAACACTTCCTCAACTCTTTCTGGCTATGGAGCTCTGCTTGGGAGCTTCCGTCAAGACGAGTGTCGTGAGGAGCCCGCTTGGGGAAGCTCTGCCCTGTACGTCACTGCCTCCCCTTGGTTCCTCCCTTTTGGTGGTTGTCCTCCAAGTTCTCTGTCCCATCTATGGCTCCAGAGTCCCTCACCTCATTGACATACTTCTGGAGACTCTTTGTGGGTGGCTGGGGAACCCAACCTACTGGGGTGCAAGTCTGCAGATTTTTCTGTGAAGACACATGAAACTGCCTGTCCCCGCCCCCACCAAATCTAGAACCAGTTTGTATTCCGCCTGAGCAGGTGATCAGACCAGAACACCAGAGGAGGGGCTGACTGAAAGAGTAGTTACCCTGAATCTGCCATCAATTAACTGTTGCTTAACCTTTCTGTGCCTCAGTTTCCTTATCTATAATAAGGAGAATAATAGAGTCTACCTCATTTGAGAATTAAATGAGTATATTCATGCAAGAGGCTTAGAACAGGGCTTGGAAAAGAGTAAATGACATACTGAAAGAGATATGGAGGAAAGTGAGTACAGCTGGTACTCTGCTGGGTCATCTGATAAATGGGTGCTGACAACACAGGCTCAATGGAACCACTGTCATTCCTTCAAACAGAAGACTAATCAGGGCACGGGGCTTGGGCATTACCTGGGGGTCCTGGTTGACCTTGGCAATGTCCTTCTCATAGCTATCGATGTACAGTCGAATGGTGGCCCCTGCACTCCCGGTGCCACTCAGTCGGAAAATGATGCGAGAACCATCTGCAAAAATGAGCCGCAAGCCCTGGAAAGGATAAGCAGAGAATTCTTTTTCCCACATGCTGGAAGGGAGATTGAAGGCTGGCAAATTATGAGGGGTTCACTGGGGAGCTAATTTCATCCATACTTGATCAATTGGAGGATTAGGTCCTTGATAAATGGCAGCAATTGAGCCTCATAAGTCAGCCTTCTGTCAACCTCTCTGCATCTGGACGATGGGGGCTTGGCCAAGGTAGGAGGAGCATTTCTAGGGGTGTGGGGAGACCTGATTTCCATGATGCCGGATGACATGAGGGCTTCCCTCCCCTCCCAGCTTCCCTGTGATTTATGGACTAACCATTCTAGCTTGAAGCTTAATAAGTAAGTAAAGCCACTAGATGCAGAAATTCCACCCCCAGACCAGCAGGGAACATGGACAGAAGGGGCTGAAAGGAGAGCAGAAGAGGTTTCAGGCAGGCAAGGGGAAAGACTCTTTACAAAACCCTGGTAGAGAGCCTGGAAAAGAGGACAGGAGGCCAGAGGTCCCGAATGGCAGAGACCGGCTCTTGCAGACCTCATCCCTGACCACTCGCAGTGGGGTCCAAGTGCAGTGCCAACCCACCCTTTTCTCTGTTGCCCTGCCCTGCCCCTCCCTGGCAGCACCTTTGGTCCTTAGTCACCTTCTTACTTCAGAGAAAAGACTGGAGACGCTTGGGTAGATATTCCCCGACCTGAGAGAAGAAGACTGGGCCAGACAGTTGCCTGAGGACCTATCAGTCTTTATGAGTCTATCCATTCTTCCGCAAAAAGAAGAACTTTGTGTGATGCCAAAGACTGACCAGAGGAAAGACACTACTCCCCGCCTGCTGTCTGTCCAGTGTTTATTGTGATATTCATTAGCGCTCCTTAGTGAGGACAGCTGATGAGATACACAGAGCACATGCCCCGGTTAGTCACATGGAGGGGATATAGTTCACTTCCACTTACCGTTTCTTGCTTTCTAGAAACATACCAGGGTCGGTCTCCTTCCACCACAGCTTCAACTTGAAGCTTCTAAATTCTTTTCACTCGATTGCAGATGCTATATCTGTTTTGGAACATTTTCCCTGCCCCCTGGTTGTCCATCTAACTGCTCAGGTTTTCTGGTGACAGAAAGTGGAGCAGCTGCCTTCTTTACAGCACACAGAGAGCAGCCCCATCCTATGCCGCCACCTCCCACAGGCATCTCTGCCCCCTCCTCCCCCCTAGCAGTGGCTGGAGGCATGTGGAGTTGGGGCTGGCTTTTCCTGAACTTCCCTTCTCCCTGAACACTTAACCACTCAAACTTCGGCTCCCCTCTGCCATCCCTCAGTCCCAGCCTCTTCTTTTCTACACTCCTGTCCTCCTCCACCCTTGCTCTAACTAGTTCAGACATAGTTTACAATCTTACATACCATACCCAAAGTCCTCACAGATGGTGGATGAGCACAAGGATGATAAACCACTCATGCTAGGGTTTGGGGACAGGAGACTCCAGGCACTGGGGGGTGGGCCGTGGCCAGGCTCCATCCGCCCGTTTGCTACCCATTCTCCGAGAGAAGCTTTCAACAAATCATGCAGCCCATCACTTCCCAACCCTGTCGGGTGCCTTGAGAAGGACCAGGCCCAAAATCTGGGTCTATCAGGAAAAAGCAAACTTGGAAGCTGTAACAGAATCTTCACCTGCCTCTTCACTATCTCTGTTTCTAAACTACCAGAGATGAGTCCATTCTGTGACAACATCTAGCAACAGAACCAGAGGTGAGAGGACCCTGGACCCCCGAGTGTTCGTGAGAAGCTGGGAGAAGGCCCGACCCAGCCTACAGCATTGGGTACCCGCCACATGGTGAGGGAAACCCTAACAACTCTATCTACACCTAGAAATGGTCCAGGTTCTAAACTGGAGCAGGAGATTGGCCACTGCCAGGGAGGGGAAGGGGAGGGAAACAGAGAAAAGGGTGGGTTGGCACTGCACTCGGACCCCACTGCGAGTTGTCAGGGACGAGCAGGAGATTGGCCACTGGGTCCTGCTTGGTAGGTCTGCAAGAGCCGGTGTCTCGCTACGCACTGCCGTGTCAGGTGGGCTGCAGGTGATGTGCCGTGGATAATAACTGTTAACATTTCTAAGTCTGGGAATGCCTCATACACAGGGTGTTTCAAAAGTCTCCATACAAAGGAAAAATTTTATAATGAATATTTTCTAAATAAGGGTACATCTAGCTACAATTTCCCATTTTCCCTATGTATGGTGACTTTCGGGGCACCCTGTGTTTTTCTCTTCTTTCTTTAGAAATTAGAACATAAGAAAAAAATGCATATGATAATGTCACTCTCCCACTATCATGCTGCTACAATCTCTTGAGAGAAAAGAGAGGAGCTGATATCTAAGGCCACAGTTCTCTGCCATTTTTAGATTCTGGGGCTCCTTTCTGCATGTGCATGCAACACGTCATCTTGCATGTTTCCAGAGGGTGTGAAAATCCCGTGGAGTCTAGGCTAGGATTCCCAGAATGAGGGGAAGGGGGGTTGATAGAACCAGGGCACAAACCACTGTCCCTACAAGTGCATGTGAGAGTCACATGTAACTCAGCATAAAACCAGTTGAGAACAGCTACCTAAACAAACAGGGCATCAGAGGAAAGAAGACCCACAGGCCTTTTTCCTTTTTCCCTCAAGACTTCAGAGATGAGCTCTGAGGCCTCTCTCCCAAATACACTTAAATCTGTTCCTACCTGATTTCTTGAAATGCTTCCATCCACCGGATCACTGTACTCAAAGTTATCAGCCTTCTCCACAGTGTACACTTTGTCACTCACTGAGAACTGTTTCCCCACAAAGGAGCGATCAAACATCAGAGCCTCCAAATCCTTCATCATTTTGTTTGCACTCTCGGCGTCCACCTCCTCGTAATCATACCTGGAAGAAGTCACGGAGTTGAGGCCCACGGGCTAACTTCAAATCATACCCAGGTACCTCAATCAGCACTTTCTTCATCGTTTCTTTGGCCTTCCCCCAAAACCATCTAACTTCAGAAGAAGCTGGCAAAAAAATATGGGCCTGTCAGTCACTGAGGATGGAACAGGCCAGGGATGAAAGGAAGGGCTTGGAGGATTTCAGGGAAGGGTTATGAGCTTCTGAATAAGCAGGAAACACCTATCTTGGCATTTCTACAGAATAAAGCTCTAAGATGCTTCAAAGGCTTTTGAGAGATACTATCTAACATTTAATCACAACATCCTGAGGAGGTAGAATCAAAAGCAATGTTATCTCTAGAGAACTCTACATAAAGGAGCACATAGCCGAGGCACTTCTCTTCCAAATTCCGTGAGCTTCTTTGGGGCGAATGCTGAGACTGCTTCCAGTCTGGGACCTGCCTGAGGCTGCTGAGAGTTTGACTAAGTAGAGTTCCAGTCTCCACAGGAGATTCCTAAAGCAAAGCCAAGTTTTCACTGGCCAGATGAAGAAGCCAAACACGAACTCCACATCTGAGACACGTCCCTTCTTTCAGGGAGCCAGCATTCTGGTCCAAAGTGCTGTGGATTCCTCCTGACAGAGGCGGCCCAGTGTGCATGCAAAAGGGCCAAGGGAAAAAAAGTGCATCGCAAATGAAATTCTATCACAATTATTTTTCCTTCAAGAATTCTTCTTGACTTCTTTCTTAACGACGTTATAGACTCTTACAGGTGGCTTTTCTTGACCTAGTGGTTCACACTCTCTTGAGAAAGTTATTTTTTAGAGTCTCAAGAGAGCAGAGTCTATATTTATTTGCAATAGTGAAACAAATACGATATGTGCAAGATGACACCTCCGAGACATGAGAACTACTGGGGAATTAAGGCCAATCTAGTCTGGCTCCAAGATTCTATGAATCAAGGACAAAATAGTCCCCTTAATCTCAAAGTCAGCTCTTTCCCCCAGTTAAAATGATAAACAGCAAGAAATTACAACCAGGTGTTTGTGCTTTATATCTATGACCTTTGGGTATTCAAGGGCAATGTTCTATAAATCCTAGGCACAGAGGGGTGTAATGGAAAGAGTCTGGACTTTGCATTCAGACAGAATGAGCTACGAG